ATTTAAAAATGAGAAATATATACTCTATTCGGTATTCTTTTGGGCATGTATGCAATATAAAGGTAAATCTTATTCATGAGAATATTAAGCACCTCTTTTCTCCCTCCTCACGGTCCTATGAGAATTCCCTGGACTTGATGATCTCAGTTTGAGAATCCCTGAACTCTAATTAGTGCATCACAGGGTCACAACCTTCTGCTATAACTAATTATTTCTGTAGTTATGTCTTTAATCATGTTATTTACCTTCTTATGCTAGGAAGTATGATAGTGGGATGTGGATCATGCTTATGTGCAGGAGAAAATTTAACTTGAGAAACTTCTTTAAGTTCTCGATCATGATATCTTGTGAGGTGTTTGATAGATAAGGCAGGTGGTGGAGGTATAGAGAGGTGGTGGAACGAGATGGAGCAGTTGGAGGACTATAATCTATCAAAGGAAGAGCCCCTTTCTCAGGTTCTTCGCTCTCCAGAGAGGCAAGATGTAATGAAAGGAGCAGAAATTGCACACAAAGGAAGAGTTGAGATAATTGTGTGAGAAAGTCACAGGAAAGCAAGTGAATTTGATTTTTACTGGGGATCCGGATTTGAGAGTCAAGATGTGGGAGAAAGATAGTCACCTTAACTTTACAATTTTTGTCCCTGCTTATAAGATTGTTTGTCTTTCTTCTCTTGGTTTTATTTGCTGTTTTACCTGCTTGTAATCTGGTCAACAAACATCAGTCAGCTCTCTAGCCTCTGAAAATCTTTGCCTCTTTTGTGGCATTCCATTATGCTCATTACATCAAACAAATATACTAGTCTATAATTCTAAATACTGATTTCCTGTACATTTTTGCATGGTGTTACAAAAAATACTTCTGCTGATTTCTCCCCCAAGTTAATTATACCAATCTTTAACCAGATTTTCAGTTGCTTATTCATCACCTACCTATTTATAGATTTCTTTACTTCACACTTTTTCTACATGTAGCAGATTACCTTTCTCTCCTAATTGTTTTAGTTTGGCAAGAAAACATCTGGACCTAATTATTGAATTGTTTCAAATCTTACCGTCTCCACTTTGTCACCATTCATTACCTCTATGCAATCTCATTTTTTTCCCTTTCTACTATTTGATTGCATTCTCTCTCTATTAGCACCAGTGTGACTCAGCACCCTTTTCTTAATTTTTCCTTTTTAACCACTCTCTATTTATTTTATGAAAGTTATTGCCATCCATTGTTTTCAGCATTTCTTTCTTATTTTTCTTTCCTTTAAATTAATAGAATCGAATTTTAAAATTACAGGTAATATATAAAAACATCAAAGGTAATTTAATCATGTTTATAATAAACCAACAAGCAAACTCGTTGTTGTTGAGTTGATTTCTACTGATAGGGTTTCCAAGACTGGAAATCATCATAAAACCAGTTAATGACACCGTTCTTCTATGTAGCTGGGTGGCAGGTTTGATTCAGCACACAATTAGGAGCCAAAATAAGTATTTGTTCTTTCTTCTTCTATTTTTTTGCCATCTATCACTTCTCTATTACCTCTCTTTGATGCCTGTGTTATATTTTAAGCAAATCTTTCTTTCTCATGACTTCAAATTTTAGATGACTCCTGCATTTTCACCTCCAGTCTGATTTTCTTGCTTGTTATTTGTCATGATTTATTTATTAGCAAATGGATTAATGACTGTGCTAGATCTTTACTGATAGCAAAAGTTTTGCATATTCTGGTTCTTTTGTCACTGCCACCATTGGCCCTATCCCCAAATCTGTAGCAATAATAAATGGCTTACAAACCTTGGTTCTATGAACAACAGTGGTGAAATCTTGGTTAAATCAATTATGTCTGTGTGGAGAATGGAATGTTCTGCTGTCTTCAATGGGATTCTTGCGTAAAGTTTTAATGAGAATAATTTCTTTACATCATGAGAAAATAACCATAGCTACATGACCGAGAAAAAGGAGCACTGGATTTGGAATTAGAAAACCCGAGTTTCACTTTTTAATCTAACTTTAGATTCATGTTTTGAGGTAAGTTGCTAGTTTCTTGAATTTGAGATTCCTCGTGTATAAATGAAAATAATTCTAGTATTGGACATATCCTTCCAGAGTTTAATTATTAAAATCAATGATGTGAAAATATTTTGTAATTATGTGCCAGATTTTAAAGTTCCAATATTAAATATTTCAGAAATTCTCATAATCTTATTTTATTTTATGCATTAACAAAGAACATGAAAAAATGACCATCAGTTATATTATGGAATGGAGGATAGAAATTGTGTAAAAGTTCCCTATTGTGCTGCTCTTTGAACTAGTTCCTCCTTGTGTCTCTTCCTTTTACATGCCTTTCTTTGTTTGCTTGCTTGGTCATTTCAGTGAGTTTTTTATGCTAAAACAAAGGTGAATATAAACTCTGAGGTTTTCCTATTAACCAGTTGCAAAGTCATAGCAAGGAAATGAGGCATTCTTTTGTTGGAAGTGGTTGGGAAACATGTTAATGGTGTTTTAAATGTGGAAACGTTATGCATGTTAATGGAAAATGGGCTCAATGTAAAAAGGTGGTAGAACTGAAAAATAGGAATTGTGGAAAGTGATGGACCTGAAGAAATAGCTGCACCTCACAGGAATATTAGCAATAAAGAAATTTTTACTGTTTATCTCATTTTTCATTACACAAAACAGGAGATATAGTCTTTATCAGTCTTCAACTTATAACATGAGGGGCTTCAAAATGTTCATGGAAAAATGGAATTAATAAGATAAGGAAAATTACTATGAACTTTTATGAATGTCTCACATAATTAAGGAGATAAAAGCTATTTAAAAAGATACCATTGAAAATGATAATTAATAGCAAGGGATTTGTCTAAATAAGGTCCATAGTACTCCATCCTCTCAGAATGCTTTCTTCTCACCACTGGGTTTATTAAATGAAAGCTTACTAATTTTTCAGAGCTCACACCGAATACTATCTCCTCTGTGAAGTTTTCTTTGAATTTCCCTGCAGATAATGTGTGTCTTTGCAAACAAAAAACATCTGGAACCTATCCTATGCTGTAATATTGTGGTTTATTTGCAGTGTGGGAAGTTATTTCATTTCTAATTCAAATTTGCTTCCTTGCTCATAGAAGTGAAAATCATATGGATAGAAGTTACTGGGAGAACATTTTGTGAAGGAAATGAGATTTTTATTAACTTTTAATAAATTTTTAGAATGGGAAATGTTCTATATTACACTGTTCAGCATATCACTAGTAGCCATGTGTGGCTATTGAACACTTAAACTGTGACTAGTAAAACTGATGATTTTTAACATCAATTTATTACCCCATGTAACTGGATCTTATAGATCTAAACCACCAAACCCAAACCATACTGCCATCAAGCTGATTCTAACTCATGGTGATTTTATTAGAGTAGGAGAACACCTTTGGTTTCTGAGCCTGTCAATCTTACGGACCCAGACAGGCTCATCTCCCCAAAGAGTGGGTGGTAGTCTGGCAACCAAAAGCAAAAGCCACAGCACCAAGAGAGAAGATTTTAGTTTCTTTATTTTTACTTTGTTAATTTTCTAGTATGGAGAATATGAATCCATTTCTGGACTAGAAAATCTAGATTATTTTTTATAGCTACTGTGTGCCTCTCAATGAACCACTGTTTTCTCATTTGTAAACAAGCAAAATAGACTAGATAAGCTCTGGGGAGGTTTTTGAGTCATTGTTATATGGAAGGTTTCCTTCATCATGTAAGACTGAGAGTCTGTATGTATGCATGCATACATAGCACAGTTCTTTAAAGATCTATTTAGGATCCATTGATAGGATATTGTTGTTTTCCTATTCCTTTCCTTTATGTTCCAGGTCTGGGCCTTCCGTACAATAATGAGTTTTTATTTTTTTTAAGCACTTTACTGAGTCTGATCCAACTTCCCTCCTTAGTCGACTCATCCCACATTCATTACATGCTTTAGTGTAGCAGAAGCAGATGTATTTGACCTACAGACAGCAGATTACATTTTTCATGGGATAACTGTGATATCGTAAAGATGGGTAAAAACCACAGATACATTTGAAATGGGGTTAGGGAGCTAGGGAGGTTTGAAACACAGTAAGAAGTAGGGGGTTTGAAACATGAAGATTACATAAGATGATCGATCCAAGGGGCACATGGAAATAGAAGGGGAGAGTTATATGCTAACTATGAGGGTAGTGAGCATATTTTTTCCTCAGCAAATTTTAAGAGTTTGAGGCTCCAAAGACTGCAGCCAGGGTTCACATACTTTAGGAATTGTGAATAATCTGAACAGATGAATCAAATTGATTTCCTTTACCTTCTTGCCTTCCTGCAACTTTCACCCTTTGGCCACGTCTTACTTGTTAACTACCCCGCTAGTTACTTTCATGTAAGACTCTGGGTGCCCATGCAGATACCTGTTATCCCATCCCCTTGTCAACCTTTGTCTTGGTCCTATCATATTTTAAAATCACTTCTATGATACTCTATAAAGTCACCCCTGGTCTGTGGGACCTGGATAAATTGAAAAAATATTTGTGGATAATGGTGTGAGAATAACTTTGAGACATCTATGCCTGAGATGAAATGAAGCTACTAGGAGACATAACTAGAATGGGTGAACATGAATTTACAAGCCATTCAAGACCAGAACCTGTAAGCTCTGGGGAAGGAGGTCATATCTTACTCTTCTTCTCTTTTGCCATTCCAAGTTACCATATTTCCTGCACTCCCAGTTAGATGTGCATCTAACATGCTTTCTTTCACTTCCATTTCTTCTGTTTTCTTTCTGAGAAACGGAAGAGATCCCAGGAGAGGTTGGTGACAGGAATATTGTACACGAATGCAACACAAGTGTGTTAGATGACTATAAGTAAAACATTTTCTAGTGATGATGTGGCCTACAAAAAATGGAAGGGATATAAAGTTTGCACAATGTGAATGTCCTTGAATAAGTAGTCATTATAATTCTTTGGCATTAATGCATTCTTATTTTTGTTTCCTCTTCGTTTTCTTTTATCTGATTACTTTAGAACACTCTAGCACACAAATCAATGGATGGAACGAACCATTCGGTGGCATCAGAGTTTGTATTCCTGGGACTGTCCGATTCTGAGGAGATCCAACTTGTCCTCTTTGTATTTTTCTCCCTGTTTTATGTGGCAAGTATAATGGGAAACTCCCTCATTGTCCTTACTGTGACCTCTGACCCTCACCTACGCTCCCCCATGTACTTTCTCTTGGCTAATCTCTCCTTTATTGACTTGGGTGTTTCTTCTGTCACTTCCCCTAAGATGATTTATGACCTTGTCAGAAAACACAAAGTCATCTCCTTTGAAGGCTGCATTACTCAGATCTTCTTCATTCATGTCATTGGTGGTACAGAGATGGTGCTGCTCATAGTCATGGCCTTTGACAGATATGTGGCCATCTGTAAACCTCTCCACTACCTAACAATTATGAGCCAAAAAATGTGTACTTTACTCTTGGTTGCTTCCTGGGTAATTGGTTTGATTCACTCTGTGGTTCAACTAGTTTTCGTTATTAAATTGCCATTTTGTGGTTCTAATGTATTGGACAGCTTCTACTGTGACCTTCCTCGATTAATCAGACTTGCCTGTGTAGACACCTACACACTAGAGTTCATGGTCACAGCCAACAGTGGCTTTATATCTGTGGGCTCATTCTTCATATTGATCATTTCCTACATTTTTATCCTAATCACGGTTCGGAAACACTCCTCAAGTGGTTTATCCAAGGCTCTGTCCACTTTATCATCTCACGTCATGGTGGTGGTTTTATTCTTTGGCCCTTGCATCTTTGATTATACCTGGCCTCACCCGACATCACACTTAGATAAATTTCTGGCTATTTTTGATGCAGTTCTCACTCCTCTTTTGAATCCAGTCATATACACATTCAGAAACAAAGAGATGAAGCTTGCTATGAGGAGAGTCTGCAGTCAACTTATTGTTTACAGAAGATTTTCCTAAATCATGAAAGTATTATGGAGCTTACCTTCTGCTTTGGAGTAAGAGTAAATTTATATAGTGTAATAGCAAGATTTCCCAATTATATTGTTAATATTTAGTTGTGTCAGATTAAATCACAAGATTATTGTAAAATCTTTACTCAAGAAGTGTGCTGCCTGCTTACTTGTGACTGAAAGATGTGCTGGGGTCAAAGTGCCTTCCAGAAAAAAAAAATCCTTGTCTCTCAGAAAACATTACCACAGTTCAGACTTCAAAACTGAGTCTTTGGGATAGAGTGGGTTATTTGAAGAAATATAGATTGAAACTAAAACAAATTGACAACAAGTAGAAATATATAATCAAGAAGTCAGTTTATAGCAGACTCATACAATTACATGTGCACATATAACACTTATTAACTTGGATGAAATAAAAGGAAATAAATAAAGGTAATATCATTGTAAAAGTTGCCAATGTATTAATTTCTCACATATGCAAAAATCTGTCAAGTGGTCCAGACTTCTACATAGTTCTAACTAATTTTTCCACCACAGATAAGTCTCTGGAAAGGCCAAAGATCAATAGAATATTAATGAGCATGGACTCAGAACAAGAGGAGTTAGCTAGAATATCTAATGATATTAGGTTTTATTAGTTTGATGTCTATATGTCCATTCTAGAATATGCCTGCCACCATAACTACAAAAATAGAATCCTTAGCCCAAATCTCTGTTGTCTGTATAGTACTGGCTGCTCATAAAAAAATTGACCTTTGACTCTAATACCATAAGTCTAATACCATATTAAGACTTCCTAACCTTTTCATTCCCCAAATTCTTAAAGGAAAATTATCTATTTACATATTTAGTGCAAGTTTTTCTATTTCATTCTGCTGATATCAGTATATTACTATTTCATTTGTATTGTTTCTGCCATCATGAGTGAATTTTTAGTTTGGGAGTTGTTTTATACATGATTATATTCTGTTCTGTATAAATAAGGGATTTCAAATAAAAATAAGTGCAGCAACTTAGACTTGATAATTCATGAACATTTCAAAAAGGGGCAATAAAATATTGTTCTCAGGTAGAAATGTGGTGTCAATGATTCTGAAACGCGTAATACCTTTTAACCAATTTATCCTATACTATCTTACAGGCAACCTTATTTATGTCATAATTTACCTGACTTAAAAATTATTTGCCTGTTCTTTGCTTTCTATTGCCTTTATACCATTATTCTATTTTTTTATAAGGCCTTTGTTGCATAGTTGGAAAACAGGGATAGGGCTGTATATATGTGTGTGATATGTAATATAATATATAACATAGTCTATTACACATAACACAATGCACAGTAGAATATATAATTTATCCCATGTGTGTATATTGTCTGTGTATATATAAAAATGCTGTCAAGTTGATTCTGACTCACTGTTATTCTAATAGACAGAGTATAATGGTGGGTGCAAAGTCTTGTGGATCCAATGGTGGTGAAAGCATCTCAGCTGTGGAGTGGGTCTCTCTGTGGCTACCCCAGCTCTCTGAGTGTGGTTCTTCAACAGGAAGAGGAAGCAGAGAGAGGCTCTCCCAGGGCTCAGCAAGTCTTCACGTGGCCTGTCAACAGGAAGACAAGGCAGAGAGAGAGGAAGTTCCCTGATTCTTCATGAGAAGGCCACACCCATAAGGAGGCATCATTAGGCTATGACCTAATTGACAGGCTAGACTCCTGCCCCCCTTATTTATCCAGTTGAAGTGAAATTATATAACTACCATATTGTATTTATTCAATCTGTATACTGAGAAAATAATCAGAGAAGCTGTATTATATGAAGAATGTGGTATCAGGATTGGAGGAAGGCTTATTAACAACTTGTGATATGCAGATGACACAACACTGTTGCTGAAAGTGAAGAGAACTTGAAGTGCTTGCTGATGAATCTCAAAGTTATCAGCCATCAGTACGGATTACAACTCAATATAAAGAAGATGAATATCCTCATATCTGGATAACCAATAGATAACATCATAATAAGTGCAGGAAAAAAATGAAGTTGTCAAGGATTTCATCTTGCTTGGATTCAAAATCAGTGTTTGTAGAAGCAGTCAAGAAATCAAAGGTGAGGTTTTTAGGTTAATCTGCGGTCGAGGACCTTTTTAGAGTGTTGAAAAAGCAAGGATATTACGTTGAGGACTAAGGTGTGCCTGACACAAGCCATGCTATTTTCAATTGCCTCATATGCGTTGAAAGTTGGACATTGAATAGGGAAGACCCAATAAGAATCGATGTGTTTGAACTGTGATACTGGCAAAGAATATTGAAAGGAACATGGCCTCTCAAGAGGACAAACAAATCTGTCTTGGGAGAAGTATGGCCAGCGTGTTTCTTAGAGGCAAGGATGGCATAACTTCATCCTACATATTTTGGATATGTTAGGAGACACCATTCCCTGGAGAAGCACGTCATGTTTGGGAAGTGGAAGGGCAGTGAAAAAGAAGAAGGCCTCCAAGGAGATCGATTGACACAGTGGCTAAACGCTGAGCTCAAGCATAGCAACAATTCGTGAGTCTGATGCATAACTGGGCAGTGTTTTGGCCTGCTGGGCGTAGGGTCACTGTAAGTCTGAACTGACTCGATGGCAACTAGCAAGTCATGAAGGCAGCCTCCTACCTTGAAAAACACAGTCAACTTTACACTTTTAGCTTCTGATCTCTCCCTCCCTCCTTCCCTTTCTTTTACTCTTTTCTCTCTTCTCCCTCTTTACTCTCTTGTTGCTGATCTGCATACAAAGCTCTTATTCTTTTCTTTTGTCCATGGATACTTTATGTTCTGTGGGAAGAGAGCGGAGACTGTAAATACTAACAAATTTAAATTAGTTAGTAAAGCCATGTCACAAGGGAGAGAGAGGTTTTCTTTCCAAGCACTCATATTATAATCCAATGAGAAGAACCTAATTGGCATTGCATTCTGTCCATGCCCAGTCTCTCTGGTGGGCCACATCTGGACCATATGTTCACTTCCGTGGTTAGGAGTCAGAGTTATTTTATTGTTTATAAATAGTTATTTTACTTTGAGAAATAAACATTTCCCCAAAAAAAGGTGATAGGCAAGCATAGATGGCTCAATAAGTAAGGTAAGCAAGTGTGGAGGACATCAGCACAACAGGGAGCCAGTTGTACAAAGCAAAGACTGACAGATGCCAAGCAGACAGGACACAAGGAAAACAGAATTCCACAGTGGAAGGGAATTGCACTAAGCAAAGCTGATCCCAACCCCAGAGCACAAGAATGAGTTTGTTAGAAATAAAGTTCATTTACCAACAAAAAGGTAGCCAGGTGGAAGGTTGTAAAGTTATGAGGTACCTACTACTTCAAAAATTTCTTTGACATTTGTTTCCAATGATTTCCTCCTGTGTAATGGAAACTTCTTATCTTAGTGAGTCTCTTGGAAGACCCCAATAAACAAGAGGAGGTTTGGGGCTGGCCAATGACCCTAATCCTTACTACAATCAACCAATATGCAACTGGATCCAACACATATGATTACTGAGCAAGGACAGATTGTACAAATAGATAATAGGTCTCTGATCAATTTTAAGAGAGCCACTTTGGACATCTATATATGTTCCTCCAACAACTTTAGCCAGGACAACCCAATTAAAAAAACATATCCTGGTAAACAACTAATGGGAACTCCAGTCCCAGATGATGCACCAAGGTGAGGGAATACAGATATTTTAACCATTGCTATTTCTTCAATCATGTTGTTGTTTACTACATAGCATTTATGTCCTAAGTTTTAAAAACTTTTAAAATTTGTGATGTGGGTGAACATTGATTTTCTAGTCAAAAATCATTTACATTTTGTTTTGTGACATTGATTGCAATCCCCACAACGAGCAGTTTCCCCATTTTCTCCTGATGTTTACTGTTTCGTTCATCCTTTTATACTGTTGTCTCTTAATTTCTGAGCTTTGTCTCTGGGGAAATACTTTCCTTTTGATCTGTATGGTTGATTGTTCTGAAGAGTGTAAGCTTTCCCATATTATAGCTCCCCTTAAAGACCTGTCTATTTCTTGGTTGAACCATGCGTGTGCATTTAGCTTTAGGACTTAAGATATTAAAGACCATAGTTTTGGGGGCTCCAGGAGTCTCAATAAGCCAATAAGCTTTCTGTCTTTCTATTATTTTGAATTTTGTTCTACAATTTCCCCCCCCACTCTATCCTGAACCTCTTATTGGAAACTTTTTTAAAAAAATCAATTTATTGGGGCTCATACAATTCATCGCAATACATAGATCAATTGTGTAAAGCACATCTATACATGTGTTGCCCTCATTATTTCCAAAATTCACGTGGCCAGGTATCATCGAGTTCTTCTCGTTCATGGTGACAAAGGAGACCTCACTTCATCTTGGGCTAGTTTCTCAGGATGTGGGATGATCATTCTGTTGCTGCTGTGAAATTTGTGCCAAGGGACATGATCACTGGAGACAAAGTGAGTACGAAAGCAAATGTGGCGAAGAAAGCTGATGGTGCCTGGCTATCAAAAGATATAACATCTGAGGTCTTAAAGGCTTGAAGGTAAACAAGCAGCCATAGCTGAGAAGCAACAAAGTCCACAAGGAAAAAGCTCACCAGCCTGTGTGATCATGAGGTGTCAATAGGATCAAGTATCAGCCATCAGAGACTGAGAACAAGAAAGCATATCATTGTGAATGAGGGGGAGTGCAAGTGGAGACCCAAAGCCCATCTATAAGCAATTGGATATGCCCTTAAAGAGGGTCACTGGGAGGAGATGAGCCAGTCAGGGTGCAGTGTAGCACTGATAAAACATACAACTTTCCTTTAGTTCTTTAATGCTTCCTCCCACGCACTATCATGATCCCAATTCTACCTTACAAATCTGGCTAGACCAAAGGATGTACATTGGTACAGATAGAAACTGAAACACAGGGAATCCAGGACAGATAAACCCCTAGGACCAATATTGAGAGTAGTCATACCATGAGGGGAAGAGG